GACCATGTCTTTGTAGACTTGCACAGTAGTTCAGTGTTAGCTGCTCTCCTCTGATTTCTAGGGGCATTTCTCCCATTTCTCCCTGTACTGCTGCTGTTGGGGTTGTTTTAAATGCACCTGTGCAGAGTCTTAGCACCTGATACTGGATACTATCGAACTTACGAAGACTTGCTCTGGCAGCAGAATTATATACAATACTGATCTAATTTACCCAATATATATGGCTTTCAAAGATTTCCTATCAGCTCCCCAGTCAATTCCCACTGAGCACCTCATTATATTTAACACTTTCTAGCTTTTGTCTATTATTTTTTAAATATGGACAGTCCATGTCACCCTTTCATCAAACACAACCCCAGAAACGTAAATTGTTTTATCCTTTCCAACTCTTGTTTATATCATTTGACCTTGATTTCACCCCCACTTCTAAAACATCATTTTAGTCTAATGAACTGAGAATTTAAACCTCGTAGCATAAATGTAAACATTTGTACGACGAACAGTGGTCGTACACCTTAATGTTATTCATCTTCCTACCACAAAAACACTTAATCCATTAGAACATTTGATCATTTATACCATCCATCCATCTTCTTCCGCTTATCCGGGGCCAGGACACAGGAGCAGCAGCCTAATTAGAGAAGCCTAGACCTCCCTCTCCCCCGTGTCCGGTGTCCGCCTCCCGGTAGGAGATGCCCAGAACATATCACCCAGGAGGCATCCTTGTCAGATGTCCAAACCTTCCTGTGGAGGAGCAGCGGCTCTACTCTGAACTCCTCCCGGATGGCCGAACTTCTCACCCTATTTTTAAGGGAGAGGCCATCCTTCAGAGGAAGCTCATGTATTCGCTTGTATCTGCGATCTCGGTCTTTTGGTCACTACCCACAGAACATGACTATAAGTGAGGGCAGGGACGTAGATCAATCGGTAAAGCTTTGCTTTTACACTCAGCTGATCCAAAACCCCATTTCTGCGTTCTATTCTCCGAGGACTCTATACTGAACTACTTGTTTCATAAATATAACACACCCTCCCCTGTACCCTCCCTTCTATCTCTCCACACACTCTCATACTCTTTATAAACTCTTTAATAACAAAATCCAAACTTGGTCGACGTCAGGCTTCCTGAATACAGATAATATCCAGTTTCTTTCTAAGATCCTTAATGAAACCGCTCTTACCCATTCACTGTATAAAACTCAGACTGTCTTCTCTCCTGGTCCTCCTGACGTCTCATCTCCCCCCAGTCTCTTATGAACATGCTCCCAGGACATTAAAATAAATTAAATTAAAATAAATAAATTAAAATCCTTTATGCCAAAAATGTCTCTGCCCCTTTCACAATTATTTTAATCTTCTCTGTTTTGTGTTTTGCTTGGTCTGTACAGTTTATTGCACACGCAATGAACAAAATCATCTTCTCCACTCTGATTGCTGGATGGGTTTCTTCAGTCTGTCGTTGGTCTGCTGTTGAAAATTGCTGAAACTGTCCCTTCCCTTCTTTTGCACTTTCCCCTTGCACACTGCAGCGACGTGTCCTCTGGCATTTATAAGACCTGAGAGGCAGAGGTATATGTGGCCTTACTGGAAAACTCATACATCCGATCTTAACTCTACCTGGAAGAACCAGTTCTTGGAATTCCAGCATTACAGACACATCAACTCTTTCCTGATTGACTGTTCTCGCCAGTCTTTTAATCCTGCTGACTGCACTGTAAGATATACTTCCTCTACTGGAATACCTGTGATTACTCCCACTTAAAACTCCCCCAATATTTTCCTCTCTCACACACTTTTGCAGGTACTTTCAGTATTTAACACTTTATTTTTCTGCTCTTCTGTTTTAATGGCTATCAACAGACTTCCATCTCTGAGTACTTTAGTGTTACATCTTCAAACTTCTTTTTCAGCTCTCTTGACTAAATTATCAGGCCTAATTGCACCCCTTCATCGTCAGTATTATTGTAAAGTCTTCTCTGATAATCATTTTTCACTACGTTATCTGAACTATTCCCCTCTAAACTTCTTTTGCTGCTCTAAGTTCCTAACATACTTCTATCCTCTCTTCTCCCTCTCCCCGATCCACTGTATGAATAAAATTGAATTGAACTGAATGCCAACCTTCAAAGTCTGTGATCCAAATCCATATTCCACAGCCAAAACCGAACAATCCACTCAAAAAGTCTCCCGATAATCCTCCTACCATGACACCAGCTGAAAGATACCATTAATTAGAAAGCAATCCTGCCACTTAGTGCAAATCAATATCATTCAGTCCCAACTGATGCCCTGTAAAAAGCTTTCCCTGAAGAACTGAAGCTGTTATAGCTGCAAAGGGTGGGCTGATATATTAAACCCTATGTGTTAAGAATGTGATGTCACTTAGGTTCATATGGATGAGAAAGCAGATGAGAAAGTACTTTTGGCAGTATAGTGTATCGCTATATAAAAGTAAAAACATGAATTCATTATCCTTTATAGATGCGAGCTTGTTGTTTCAAGTTCCCGTTCACAGAAAAAGAAAATCAGACACAGAAATTGTCGTTATCCAGCCTTGAGGCTTCTCAGCTGAGGAAACAACAGGAAACAAACTGAAACAAACTCCATTCCAAATGGCACATCAGACCTTTTAGACTTTGGAGAGATGGAAAAGAAATTAAACGGTAATATGGCCTCTATACTTTTCAACTTTTTATTGCATTGTCATTAAGTCAAGTCTAAGTTTAAATACTGAGTTTGAAAAAACAAACAAACAAACAAACAAACAACCATGCATATTGCACGCATATGATTAGACAGTGCTAAGGAATTGTTGCATTGCATTAGGTAAATGTTTTCCACAGAGAACTCAGCAGTTTCAACTAGAAATGCAGGAGTAGTACCATGGATCACAGAGGAAGTATATGTGTGTGCACTATTCCTCAGGTCAACAGTAAAGCTGACCTGAACATTTGAACAAGTCAAGTGGCTTTTACTGTCATTTCAACCATGTACAGTACAGAGTGAAACGAGACCCTGGTGCTACATATGGCCCCTGCGTGCTGCTCCGTGAATTACTAAGAGGCTTTAACTCTTCAAAGGTTACACCCACAATAAAATTAAATCATGGCTTAATTTTGAGCAGTATGTTACGAAAAACATAACAAAATAGACACAAACAACAAAAAAACTTCACTATTACAATTTGGCAAACATTCTTCGCATTGCTCCTCTGACTCCCATTGGTTACAAACATTTGCATCATCCCATAAACTATAGCAGTTTTTTTTAATTACGATTATTTATAATGGCATTTAAAATAATGGACAGATACTAAAACAACTTAAAGAAGCAACTCATTGCTTGTCTCTGTCTGAAAGTGTTGAGGCTGATGGATTTGAATAGTGAGTGTTCACTGCCCTCTAGTGGATACAATGAGAAAGTGTGTAACCCCACCAAAACAACTTGGACAGAGTTTTGGGAGTTTGGGAGTTTGGGACTGTCACCAGGGCGGTCTAACCTGTTCAGTGCTGGTATCACAGCACAGGGATGGTGTATGTCTGAAAGCAGCTTTAGATTAAATGTAATAGTCTAAATTCAGAAAAGCAAAAAAGGAACCAGCTGGTATCATTATCAGTGACTACACTCAACCATCTGTGAAACTGGTTCAGTGTAGCATATTAAATATGGATTATATTGGCATATTATTGTAAAAAACAACCAAACAAAGCTTTAAATGTAAATCTGAAAAATAAACTGATTCCATTATTTCTCCAAGCTCACCTCCAAGTTCAGAACATTATAGGACACGATCCTCTACTGGAACTCAGCTGGAAGTACACTCATGAATGAAAATCTCTGACCTACTGAGACTGCTCTGCTGAAGTGCTGCTGATCACCGACAAATAAAACAGGGTGGGTAGCGTGTGCTAATTATCTACCATACACTTCCTTTCATCACTGTATGCAAGTATGCTTAACTGGCTCCCTTTAACTATTGAACCATGCCATACTATGTTCCAAAAGTAAACAAACAACAGGATGAGAGAGATTTTGGTCCTTAGTGACATGATATCATCATGCAGTTGCTGTCTGACAGGCAGCATTATCTTGCTGGAAGCAGCCATAGGATGGCACACTGTGGTCATAAAGGATTGGATATGCTCAGCAACAATATTCAGGTTCGGCTGTGGCATTTAAACCATGCACAGGTTGTACTAAGGTGCCCAGAGTGTGCCATGTGTCTGGCCATTCTCCTGCGACCTCTAGCATGAACAAGGTATTTTCACCGAGGGAGCTGCCACACACTTGGCTTTGCAGGGGAATCTCAGTAGACGAGCATTTTCTGAAACATTCAACCAAACCTGTCTGCCACCCACAGCCATGCCATCTAAATAAGTTCTTTCTATTCTTGGTTTAGGGTCAAACTTCAGCAGATAGTCTAAATCCTAAATGCACTGAGTAGTTAACATGTGATTGATCAGATATTTGTATTAACAAGCCTTTGAACTGGTGAACCCAATAAACTGACACATAATAAAGTCTGGCTTGTAAAATATAGTCAATCAAATACTTCAGTGTATTATTACTTAAGTAGTATGGTACTCTTAAATCATAACAATACACAGTATATAGATAATTATATAGATATGCAAACGCATTTACACGATCGTCTAGATATGAAGTTTTAACTAACTTTTCATAATTTCTTGTGTAGAATCTGCAGTTTAAACGGCAGTTTTCTGTGACGTAGGAGATAAATATCTAAACTCAGCTATTCACTGCCTTTAAAGAAATGCCCACACAATGATGTTGAATATTCCAAAGCACTGTAAAATATCCTTCCATAATTATAGAGTTTACACTCTCAGTGAAGCTCTGTAAGGAGCTCAAGGAATGAAAATATGCATATTAATAAGGCCCCATAAACTCATAAATCATTTTGACTGTGGACACGCCTCCTGCTCTTCTACTGGCTGCTACGTGCCTCTCGTCGGCTGCGTCCCCTCTTGGTAATTTAAATAGCCCCCTTACGGAATTTGATGAATAGGGTCGCTGTCAAAAGCGTCAGACGGAGGGGAGAGCTGACAGACAGACAGCTGTGACGGAGAGCGGAGGAGCACGAGCTGCGTCATGTGTCGTCCTCACGCGTACGTCTAGTTATTTATCCGCGGAGTTGGACGTCGGGGAGAGTTTGCTCAACTATTACCGTCCCGGGCTTAATGTTCCGTGGCTAATCCTGTTTTGTTCTTTTCTGGAGCGATATGGATCCTGGAGCATGTCGAGCTTAAGTGTGGGGCCACAGCTTTGAGCGTGCGCAGGCTGAATATTTGCCCAGGTTCAAAAAGTTCTCTCGTCGGGAGGAAAAGCTTCGTCTCCGCAAGGTAACGCGTCTTTTTCTCCTGCTGTTTTACGTCCGCGCGCGCATTTCTGAGCACAGCTCCGCTTTCAAAGCTAGCAGCTCGTGTCATTAAGTAGCATCTAGGCTACGATATAATAATATAAACCTAAAGGACGCGAACAGAAATAGTTTTTGATGTTTCCAGTTACCGGAACTCTACCAAAAGTAACATTTGGTGACTTTCCCCACCCCTCCAGCGCGCGCGCGCGCGCACACACCTTTGATCTACCGGTAACGCGAGTAAATCCTTTCCCGGTATTTTTGTCATCAAAAGCTTTCTTTTGAAACTACACAGCTCTCGAATGCAAATCTACACTGTATATTTGACCTTTTCTGCTTTACTCGCTGTGCACAAAGAATTCTGGGTAAAAAACATCACAGTAATTCTCTCATGTTGCGTATGTTCTGTTGAGGTCAGCCTGTCAGAGCATGTTGCAGTCATGCTGAAGCCTTGTAAACGTTCAGCATGTGTAACCATAAATGTGAAAAAGTGCTTCAGATTGGAACCAACTCCGTTCTCTTAAGATCTATTCCAGATATTTAATAGCATTAATGTTGTTTTTGAAATCTTTAAAGGGTGAGTGAACCTTGATTGGTTACACCCGTCTCACCCATCCTGTGTATTCAGGAGCCTCAGAGGGCCACAGCATCATGGTGAACAGCCAAGTGCCAGGTGTACCATCAGACCCCAGGTCTTGTGCAGGATGTGGGGGGAAGATTGCCGACCGCTTTCTGCTCTTCTCCATGGAGCGCTACTGGCATACGCGCTGCCTCAAGTGCTCTTGTTGCCAAGCCCAGCTGGGGGACATCGGTACCACCTGCTACAGCAAAGGGGGCATGATTCTTTGTCGGAGCGACTACATCAGGTGAGAGCCAGAGGAAGGAGGGAAAGGAAGCTGCTGATTTTTAGATTTCCGAGGCCATCTTACCAAAACCAAATCTTTGTTTTTGTGTTTGCAGACTGTTTGGGCACAGCGGGGCGTGCAGTGCCTGCAGCCAGTCAATTCCAGCCAACGAAATGGTGATGAGGGCACAGGGAAATGTTTACCACCTCAAGGTAAATCCCCAGCTCTCACGTTACTGTGCTTCATCTCCCGCAGCTTGTTCGACAGAAGCATCTAGGATTTGAAGTGGAGATGTATCAGGAGAAAAGGGAATTATACCCACATATAATCACGCTTTGAGACTTCTTTTAAGATGTTTTAGGTGCTTTTACAACAGAATTTCAGCATTGTAGAGTTTTATTTTTAATATCTTCCATCCAGCATCAACTGAAAATCGTTCAATTTTGACATGAGATTTTTTTTCTTCCCCGATCCTCTGCAGTGTTTCAGCTGTGCCACTTGCAGGAACAGACTAATGCCTGGCGATCGCTTCCATTACATCAACGGTACAATTTTCTGTGAGCACGACAGACCGGGCGCTGCCTTGCTCAACAGCCACCTGCCAGCACTGCAGAGCAGCTCTGTGCTGACAAACCAGAAGGTGAATAAGACGGAGTGTAAATTCACTGTCAGCTAACGTCACTGTGCTGGAATGAAACTTCTGTTAACTCCCTCTTTGACAGGATAATTGCAGGCCGATGGTATTATTAAAGTGAAGAAAAATATGTGGTAACCTGACTACAACGTAAATGCAGAAAGTCTTACATTCATACAGTACAGCCAATAAAGTTAATAGCTGTAATGCAGTCAGATCGAACCACCAAACTTCAAATCGGTAGAGGAACTGCTCCTGAACTACAGCCACTGTGTTATGAAGAAAAACTTTCATTTTTCAAATAACTGAACAAAAATGTTTCACAAGTCAGAAATCACATATTTGATATGTATTATTTGGGTTACTTGGACATCGTCACTAGTCTGCAAAGAACATTAGAAACCCTTGTTCAGTCAAATATGACTGAATTGTTACTGTAAATGACATTTTTCCTTAATGTAGTGCGGTATCGCTACATTGAATTAAAAATGTGCACTGATTTTTGTAAAGAACTGAAATGCAACATGTAAACAGTCCTATAATCTCCTTGCTCTTCTAAGCTGCTGCTGTCACACTGCTGTTTAGAACTGTAATAATAGCAGGTATTGTGCATTGTTATGCATTAATTTGAAGATGAAGAGAGCACTTGATAAGTGATGCAGGACTCTGTGGTCACTGCTTTTGTTTGTTCATTTGCAGGTATGCTGAGTGGCAAACGTGCCACGCGCTGCCCTTGCCTTCCTCTCCAAAGCTTCACTCCTTTCTTCTCTTGTGCTACTGTTGCCGTTGTTGTGGATTCCCATCACCACCCACCTGCTTCTCATCCCCTCCCAGAGTGGACACAGTTTCTCAGTTTCTCACTCAAGATATCCCACAACTCGTCATATCAGAGAGACCCTCTGTACTACATGCAAAGTCCCGTCTATGTTGTGGTCAATGTTAAAGTGGTCTGTGCATCATGCAAAGACTCAGGAGTTGCACTAGCAAAAGGCTCTTAAAGGACAAAAGGCTGGATGCCAAGTGGAGGAGAGCAAAAGCTGCTTGAGTGAACATTTGATGGACTGCTGTAAAATGACTGAACTTTTGCTTGATGCCTTGTGGCATTTTTTCCCCTGAGCATCACGGTTTTTATTTTTTAATTGTATTTTTTTTTTATTACTAAACTCCTGATCTCGCTCTTACGTACATGTTCACCTGGAGATCTGACACTGAGGAGATAAAATTGATGGATGACAAAAATGTGAAAATATTCAGTCATTGGAAATCCTTTAACCCGCAGCAGAAAGCTTTTAAAGCCTGTCGCTGCTTTGTCACGTATCGATTTCTCTTGTGCCCTGCACATCGACAAAGTAAAACAATCCCGTGCAACTTTATTTTTCTGCTGTATAGTTTTGTTTCTTTACCAGATGCGTGTTTGGTGTTTGTGTTGGGATGGTGGTGGTATGTGGCATTGAAAGAAAAATTCTATTAAAACGATTCTTGTAACATGTCCCAAAGTGATCTGAGGTTAAGCCCGTTAGTGGCATTAGAGTGGCAACATGTGGCATGGTACCTAGCGTGGTGGATGTTACTGGCTCTCTCACTCTCTTTCGCCCTGTATGGTGAAAACATGCCTGATTACCCTGAGGAATGGAATTGGGGGGCTTGAGCTCTGACCATTTACAGAAGCAATTAAACATGATCCCTGTATCTGTGCTGCTGGAGCTCCTGGGAGGCTGAACTCGGGGCATATCCCAAGGTTGACTGACTCGGTGGCTGCTTGCTTCTTATAAAGCTTAATCTGAAAGCAGGCTAATTAAAGGGGCTGTAGCTCCCTCTACATCCAGGGCGTTTGAAAAAATCTTATGTATTTACTGTTTACCATGTTCCAATTAAAGCTCCCGCACAGCCTGGTTTGTTTCCTGTCGCTGTTCTTTGTTCTCTGCCACTTTGCAATGCTTCTGAAATGCATTTCCTTGAGCTGCATCTAACTCGCTATGCCTTTTTAATGCTATATAAAAAGTTTCAAGTCTTAGCGCATTGTCGGTAGTTTGGAGCTAATCTTGGTGTGATAGTGGCAACAGAGTGCGCCGTGTGCAGGAAGCACAAGATAGCATCTGCTCTACTTTCACACCATGCCTGGGAGCATGGCAGCCATCAAACTCGCACCTTAATGCGCTTAGTTATTTCAAAGCGTCCCACTTGTCATGCTAGGTGCTGATACCGCATCAATTATTTATTCCACGTCTGATCAAGAAGCGTCACGCAAATTCATTAACGTATGCAAATGATCACAATTACAATTATCTTTGTATCGTGATGGTGAAGAAATAAAACCTTGGCACATTCCCGAGTCCCACCACACCACAAGTTACACTTTGCATTCAAACTAATCAAGCCTCATCTGCCTTTTCCTAATTAGCCGGAACGTTTTCAGATGCCAATTAGCGGGTCTCATGAAAAGGCACTTTGCCATGAGGCGTTGTCTTTTATCAGAGCTTCTGCAGGTGTGTGGCTCACCGTGTAGCTTGTGTCATAGGAAAGTGTTTATTCCTGCTAATTAATCATATTAACACATGCAGATGAGTGTAATTGCCTGAGCTCCTCCACCTCACACTGTGTGAAGACACAAGAAGATGCCAAGATATTTTTACATGCTTATGATGAGAAGGACAGGAGATGCCTCCTCCTTGCCCAGATACTCCTGTGACAAATCAAAAATGGCCACCCCCCTTGATGCTGATTTGTCAGTCTGTCAGCCAGAAGCACGAGTGTGCCTGTGTATGTGGAGTATTTGGAAACAGACAATATGCTGGAGTTGTTTTTCAACTCTGTAATGTGTCACCAGATGTGACCTAGAGTGTGAGCACCAGAGCCAACCCCCAAACAAGCAACCAAAAAAAGCTTTGAGTATACATTTCAATAATAAATCTAAGTGCTCGTTACTTTTGTGCTTTTAAGTTGAGTATCCCCGGTTACATTTGCAGTGTCAACTATCACCCCAAACTACAGAACTGGCAGCAATGCATTCCTGCAAGTGTCAACGCTGCTAATTCTTTTCCAGAGTCTATCATGTACAGGTGATGCATTATAAACTGGAATCTGTGACATTTCTCATGAGATTTAGTAAGTTTAAAGACAAATAAATGCTTTGGTAACATGACACAATTTCATTATTCTCCAGCCACCCCTAACAACGTTGCTTCGAACCTGCAGTATCCCTTAACCTAAGACTAAAACTAAGAACACCAACTGCATCTTCCTTGTTAGATTTTACTCGAGTAGGTAAGACAATATTTTCAGCCTGGTTCTAATCGAGATTTCTTCCTGTTAAAAGGGAGTTTGTCTTCCCACTGTTGCCAAGTACTTGCTCATTCAGGCGACTGTTGTTGTGAATTGATGTATGAAAAATAAAAAACTGATTTAAATCAAATTAAAGTGAAATATTTACATTTTAAACTGGTACTATAAGTGACAGTGCTGCTTTTCTTATCACAGTGCAGTATCAGCAGTTTGTGCCATTTTGTGACTAATGTGTACATTTTTATACTAAATCATTTTTTTCATATTTTACTTGTATGAAAATGTGATTTTTCTGTGTATTAAGTGGTATTATGCTCTAACATAAGATTATGGATGCACAGCGAATGCCTCTGCATTACCGTAAAAATATGAGAGGCTACAGCAGCACCCCGTAGGGTTAACAGTTATCACAAGGTGCTTCATAGTGAAAGGTAAATCCTTAGAAATATTAGCAAGACAACTCTCCAGCAATCACCTATGAACAAACACTAGAAAAAAAGCCTGGTTCACTTCCTGTTAACAGGAAATATTTCATTTGTTCTGAAATATTTACTATTTATTTTGATTCAATTTTATTTATATTGTAAAAACAAGTGAAGAAGCGCTCAATGCATCATGGGAAATTCCCCAGCAAGCCCCCGTCTACAGCAGCATAACTAAGGAATAGTTCAAGGTTAGCTCATCCCAAAGGAACATTTTAATGTTTATCTGAAAAGCAAGTGTCTGTCACACCTTAAAGGTCGGTCCGTGAAAATGCAAACTGTGAGCTGGTCGTGCAGAACAGGAGCTGATAGGTTAACAAACAGCAACGCCGTTCCTTCAGTTCCTTTACACGTGATTATTACTTGCTAACAGAAATCTCGGGTTTACTTTTCTGCTGAGTAGTTTACTTATTCTGGTTTAATGAGATTGTCATTTTTGTTTTCAGGTGTCCTTTAGTACAGCAGTCCCCAACCTTTTTGCACCACAGATCAGTTTATGTCCGACAATCTTTTCGCCGACCGGCCTTTAAGGTCAACAAAATAAAACCAATACTGGTATCAAAAAAAGAAGATTTATTCATAACACACGGAAAAGACGCAGGGAAACCGAGTGAACCATTAAAACGATTAAAAAAATAACGATAAAAACCTTGAAAAACGTAAATTCACACCTGAGCCTCAACTCTCGCGGCCTGGTACCAAACGACTCGGGACCGGGATGGGTCCGTGGCCCGGGGGTTGGGGACGGCTAGTGTTAAGCTACTTGATTACACTTCGTTTGGATAAAAAATAAACCCTTTCACAACATTAACCACTTATTAAAGGGTGGATTTAATACATTTGCAATAAAACTGACCTCCACTGTCATGATTAACAGCCTATTTCAGAATATAAATTCCATCAGCCTCCTATGCTTGTTAAAAATGATGGCAACAGGGAGCCTCGTATTTTAAAATACAGCAAGGGATTCAGACCAAGTACATGACGAGCTGGAAATCAGATCCTCAATATGAATGATTCAAGTGAGCTTCAGTGTGTGCGGAGTGTGCTTGGTGAATGCTGATAGACAGGTCTTGTCCACCCTGAGGCACTGAGCTCAACACAGGTATGTTTGCTGTAAAAACGCCATCTGGTTTCACTGTTGTCAGAACCCAAGCATGTAAAACGTTGAATGTTGGTGTGCCTAAAGATCTCTACGGCATTTAGCTTTGCTCGCAATCCTACTGAAAGCTCGCCGGCCTGCCAAAGCTATTTATGGTAGCTTCCAAATCCCGAAGAGCTACACGACTGTTTAGAGCCAGCTACAACAATTTCCAACACACACCTAATTTATCATAACCATAGTGTGCTGAATGTGATTTCTGATTCCTTTATGAACTCACTAAGGGCTCCAGTGCTGCAAACCTTGCCATTGTACTAGAGCAAAACACGAGACAGAGCTGAAACATGTAGGAAGCGAGGCATGTTCCAGTCATAACTCACTGCCTACAGCAGGGGAGTAGAGGGGCGTAATGACAGAGAGGGACTTTACAACTCCGAGCCTCATTCAGGAATGTCAGGAAGGGGAGAGGGAGAAAAGTTCTCCTGGCCAATCGGAACGCTTTGAATAATTAAAGTGATTGGCTTAATTAGCTCAATTACCTTAATTTGACCACGGAACACGGCCATATGGTGAAAGGAAACAAAAGAGGGGGGAACTAATTAAAAGTAAAATAATGAGGATTTTAATTAACTGGCTCCCTAGACAGCAGAGCGCAGGGATCAGGAGCCTGCTACCATAATTAAAGTGCTGTAACGCTGGCAACATCTCTCCTCTCTTTCTTATATCTGTGAGGGCTCTATCCATCTAATTAAATCTGTAAATAAATTAGCAACATTGAGGGTTCCTGCTTGACTTAACACCGCCTGTAATCCACCCCCACCACCTTCCCAATAACACGCTCACCTCAATTTCAGCACACTGCACCAACCATATGTAGGCAAAGGTTGAGCTAAGTTCTGTCCTAAACAGACAGATGTGTTTAGAGGGTGGCATGCATTTCGTCGTGATTGTGCCGATGCTGCTTGATGAAGAGTTTGCGCCTTTCAAAACCCGGGATTCTGTTTTGAAGCTCTGGATAACACAGATCGCAGAGGTCCAGTGCCGAGGTGACGTCTGCATCGTCTGCAAGTGTTGCAGCCAGCCGTCAATGCATGTCAAGTGACATGTGGCCATCAATGTGTCGTCTGGGCTCTGCCCCTAAAACACCAGCTAGCTCGGTGTCTTTCTACTATCCTTCAGTTATACCTCCCCTGTACTCTCTGCTCAACCTGCCCCTGGCCATTTCACGTCCTCCACTGCAACCAGTAGCAGCCGCCGCCCATGGAAGCAGAAGCCGTTTCATTAAAATGCATTCAGATTGACAAGAGCCTTATTTGCATATTAAATTAACAAGCACTTAAGAGTTCTGAGCGAACTGTTACACTACCAGCTCGGAGTAAATGAAGAGCAAGCAAGCGTTTGACTGTCATTACCCATAGCTGTCACCGTTGGACACGGTTGAGGAATGGTGTTTTCAGAGCTAGACTCACAAAGACAGATAAATGTGATGGAGTCAACAAATGTAACCCGCCTTTCAACCTCTGGTGTCCCAGCTACATTGTTCTACAAAGACACTGAAAGTGGAAAAAAGCACTGAATGCCTGCAACAGGGAGAAGCTGCAGATACTTCAATCTGCCTGTAAGCTTGTACCTGGGCTTTCTCAGTTTCCAGCCCTAAAGAATGCTTCTGGGAATCCTTCACCTGTGTTAATCCAAGTGACTGGACTGGTGTCTCTGCCTTTTTGGAGGATTTTTAATAAACAAATAATATCAGCTTTCTAGAAATTTGTGTTCAAATTTTAGTGAGTGAAAATGTAGCATTTTATTTGTCTGTTACTTAGCACTAACTAACAGTGTGTCATACAGCATATCAATGCAGCTAACTAACCAAGCAGACATTAAAGAAGTCTGGCTTAGAGTAATTTAAAGTGCGCTGGTGTCCCTGAGTGGCAGTGTGGTGATTCAGAGTGGGGCCTCTTTTAAAGCCAACAGAGAGACAAACTGAGTGAGAAAAAACTCAAAGTATGTCAAACATCTGAGCTGACGC